AAAGTACCGCCAGTCGGGATGACAGGAAATGATGCCGAACATTCAACATGTTTTAAAGATGATATAAAGGACAATCCCGAATTTATTGCACATAAACAGCTGTAGCTTTCTAACAATGGTAACACAAATGACAAAAAAAAATCAGAGAAGATTCTTAGACTAATTTTTAGTAAGGCAACTTACCCACTTTTCAATTAGGGAATCCAAAAGCTGTCTTTAATCTTTGTACAGTTGTGAAAAAGTCCATCCTCAGAATTCCTTGAGGTTCTTTACAAAATTTTTAGAACTCTATGAGCTCTTTTGAAATTCTTCTCAGAAGTCCACTGGAATTACGCTTAGAACTCTTCATGATATTTATCTCAGAACACTTTAGAACTCAAATTCATTTAGAGTTTCATAATTTTTTCCCGGAATGAACTAGAAATCATCCTCGGAATTCGCTTGAAATTTTGCTTAAAATCCCTTTGGAATTTCACTCAAAATTTGATTTTCTCGGTATTCTTTTCGAAATTATCTTGGAATTATTTGCAGAACGCACTAGAAATTATCCGTAGAATAATATTTTGGAACTGTCCTAAGAATTCAATTCCCTTGAGGCTCTTCTCTGTATATTTTAGAATTTATTTTTCTCAGAACACCTTGGAACTGAAATTCCCCTAAACTTTCAGAAGAATTTCCTCTGTTTTCTCCAGAAATTCTTCCCAGAATGATTTTAAAATTATCCTCGGAATTCCCTTGAAATTTTCCTCAACATCCTTTGGAATTTCATTAAAAATTTGATTCTCTCGGTATTCTTTTCGAAATTATCTTGGAACTATATGCAGGATTCACTAGAGATTATTCGCAGAATTTTCATGAAATCATCCCCAGAAATCTTTTCTTTTGAAACTGTCCTCCGAATTCAATACCCTTGAGGTTCTTCTCGGAATACAAGTTTAAGTTGTCCGCCCATTCACCAAATCGTTGTAGTTTTTCTACCATAAATGATCAACAAAGCTTGCCCCTCCATTCACCAGAAGTGTGAAATTTTTACATCAGGCCTCTCCATGCAGCAGATTGTTGCAAATATTACACCAGAAATTTTCAATACAAACTTGCCACCAGAAAATTTCAGTTGATCAGAACGATGCAAATTTACCACCGTTAATGTTCAATAAAAATTGCTTCTCCAATCTTCTGATTGGTGCAGATTTCTTTTTTCCATTTCCAACCAGACATTTCCAATATAGCTGAGGCTCTTCTCGGAAGTCAATTTAAGTTGTCCGTTAATTCACTGAAACGTCGTAGTTTTTCTACCAGAAATGTTCAACAAAGCAACCAGAACTGTGCAATTTTTACATCAGGAATTTTCAATTCAGCTTGCCCCTCCATGCAGAAGAATGTTGCAAATCTTACACCAGAAATTTTCAATACAAACTTACCACCAGAAAATTTTACACCAGAAAATTTCAATTGACCAGAACGATGCAAATTTTCCACCGTTAATGTTCAATAAAAATTGTTTCTCCAATCTTCTGATTGGAGCAGATTTCCTTTTTCCATTTTCCACCAAACATTTTCAATATAGCTGGCTTCTCCTATCATCAGGTTGCAGGTTTTCCACCAAATAAAGTTTGCCCCTATTTTCGGATTTTTTTAATCATACATTTTCAGTAAAGCAGCTTCTCTCCAATTATCAGAATGGTGCATATGTTACACCAGAAATTATTATTAAAATTTGTTTCTCTATTCAGCAGAAGAATGCAAATTTAAAAACAAAACAAAATCCGAAAAGCTTGCCCATCCGTTCACCAGAACGGTGCAGATTTTCCACAAGAAATTTATAATTTAGCTTAATTTTAAATATAGCTTGTGCCTTCATTTACCAGGCTAGTGCAAGTTTTCCACCAGAAAATTTCTGTTCATTTCATTAATCAGAGCGATGTAAATTTTGCACCAGAAATTTTCAATAGAGCATACTCCTCCATTCACCAGAACGGTGGTCGGTGCACCAAAAATTGTCAGTGAAGTTTGTTTCACCATGCACCTTTAGGCTTTGCCTCTTCATGCACCAGAATGGTGTAAATTTTCCACCATACATTTTCAATTAAGCTTGCATTCATCAGAACGATGCAAATTATGCACCAGAAAAATTAATAAATCTTGCTTTTATATTCACCACAGTGTTGCGAACTTTCCACCAGAAGTTTTCAGATAAATGTGCACCTGCACATTTTTTGCGCGATTCAATTTTAGAACCAGAGTTATTCATTTTGATTAGTCCTTCCATGCACCACCTTGATGATATTTTTACACCAGAAATATTCAATTAAAATCTTTTGCTTCGAATTAACTCCTTGAAAAAAAATTACACCAGGAATGTGGCGCAATTTTTTTACCAAAAAATTTCATTGAAGTTTAACCCTTCATGCACCTTCGTGGTGCAATTTTCAGGCAATATATTTATTTATAAAAAGTGGGGCAATTGCCCCACCTTGCCCCACCCTGTGCACGCCAATGACCTGTTTCAGAGCAAAACCGGAGGCAGTTGAGCAATTCATGGCAGATCTTCCATCTCAGCATGATACCGCTTCAAGACCATTCTCCGTCGTCGGTATTGATTTTTGGAGACCGATCTACCTCAAGCCTCGTCATCGCAGAGTAGCGCCTCCAAAAGCTTACGTCGCAGTATTTGTGTGCTTCAGCACTAAGGCAGTATACTTGGAGCTCGTTGTGGACCTAAGTACAGCAAAGTTTCTACAAGCCTTCCGTCCCTTCGTATCTTTTAGGGGTTTGTGTTCGGACCAGCGACAACGACAAAAACTTCGTGGGTGGAGGCACGGAGGCACTCTTCATGCAGATCGAAGGCTGTCTGAATTCACGGCCGTGAAATCCGCGCCAGTTGTAACAGCTCTGGAAGAACGAACAATTGCCTCATGTTGGGGTCAGGGTTTGTCAAAACACCTGCTGCAGCAAATGAGTCAAATCTACCGAAAACACGATCATAGTGCACAGTTTGGATAGAAATGGTCCATGCTTATGAACTCTTGTGAATTAATAGAAGTGCTATAAAATAATATGTCTTGTTGACCTTCAGAAGAATGAATGATTTGATCCATCCATTGTATTGCATGCCGATACAATAAATGACATAACTCATTTGGGAGTTTAAAGGGTGCAGTCGATGAAAATGGCACACACATAAACAGCTGTACTGTACTGTACTGTACTGTACAGTACTGATTAAGTAAAAAATATTTCATGGTTCAAATACGAGCTTGGACTTGGGTTTCAATTAACAAAAAAAAATGTTGTCTTAAAAATGTTGTACAGTGGTGAAAAACTAAATTTTGCTAATTTCTATTATTTTTTTTTTATTTTTCTTGTTAAATTTATTAACGGTTTATGAATCTTTAAAGTGTGATAGAAAATACTTTTTTTTTTTATTGAAAATACTGTTTTGAAAAGGATCGGAAGAATTAAGATTTTTTAAGTCAAAATGTGCCCACACTTTTAAGTATTATTTATACCAACAGCTAAATATTTCGAGGGGGCGACAGATCTCAATCTCAATTCTAGATGCTCGTAACATCTCACACTAGCGATTGAATCTTCGAAAAATCTTTTATCATTTTTCGCATCTACTTGCAAATCTTCAGAATCGTCATTAAATCTTCTTTCTATCTACTCAGCGTGCGCGCAGCTAACCACAGCAAAACAAAATTTTCCTGCATTGTAGATAGAGTCGCCCCTCTGGCAATGATTTTAAATATAATATTTGGCAAAATAATTGTTTGGTTCCATGAATCCAGTAGTCAGTTCGACGGGTGAATAGAGATTGATATTATTCAAAGAGCAAGGTAAATACATAGTGAAGGTTGTTATGAATAATTTCATGAAATCCAAGATGTATATAGGATGATAGAAGTAAGCACTTCCAAAACAAAAGTTACACCTGTGTATCTGTGTACCATTTCTATCGTATACACCTTTTAGTCCTTGAAGGAAGATGGATCAAACTGTGAAAGATTCCGTGCTTCTCTGAGCAAACAAAACAATCTAAAAACTGAGTCTAATTTACGTACACATTCAAAATCTCACCACAAGTAGGGTGTTCAATTGTTGGATTAAAGTTGCGCGAAATTGAATTGAATAATGAACTTCTACGACCGCACGGTTCTCCACAAGTCTCCCCCAAACCAGTGCCAGCGTGGTGGCATGGTTCGGTCGAGGTGAATGGAAAAGTGAGAGAGAGGTCAAATCTCGTGTCAAAAATTACGCCTTCCACAACTGTTCTCTCAGACTGACCGACGAACAACAACGATGATATCCAACTGAAAGGCATTCATAATTGAATCAATTTTACGAGGCGCGCGATAGAAATGACATTTCTCACTTGAATGGAACACGGACAGACAGAGGGGTCCGGCATAATGGGGTGTTTTGGATAAATTGAGCTTTTGTAGAACGACGTCGAGGAGAACGTTCGTTCAGTTCAATGCAAGAAACGCTTGGAGTCTTGTGTAACACCGATGAGTCCAACGTTGGCTGTGGAATAATGCTTGATTCTGGACAATTGGAATCAATTACATGTATGCTTGTAAATTGTCCAAGTGAATAATAAATCTTGAGTAAGGAGGCATCGATCACGTTTGCGCTCAAAACAAGCGAGAGTTGATGAATGGCTGTTGTGATTTATCGTGTAAGCGAATCTGGACTTGTTTCTTGATTTGTTTTGAATTTTTGCCTTCCGAACATTTTCCTTTCAACGTCAGCAGCGTTGTTCGCAAAAGTGTCCACATTTATTCCAAAATTTGCTACACACACAATTGGGAACCATACCAAATGCAATGTCGTAGAAACTTTGTTCTATCTCTTACAAGGTGATGTAATCCATTGACGGAAACAACAACCTAAATATCGATTTATTAAAAGCGCCCAATTTAAAGAACATGTTCTAATTTCAAGTCTAGTACCTATGTAAAATAATCACACAAATTCATTAAAAAAAACAGACTTACCCCACTAACAGTGGATGCGCTGAATCCTCCATGGTTATGCTATCATTCAGCTTTATCAAACAGCTATCCCAATAAAAACAGCGACTTAAAAAGCTCTAATATTCCTCTGACGATGACGAATCCTTTTGTTTACGAAAAAACATTCACTACACTTGTCTCCTGTTTTCCTCTTCGTCACTTCCGTTGCACTTGTTTTGTTGTTGTTGTTGGTAAGATTAACAGTGATTGGTGCAAGCAATGACTTTCAACAATTTCACTACAAATGATTCACTTTCGGGATTTCGTACAACTATTTGGGTATTTCTTCGGTTTCACTACTCAAATTTTACGAAAAAAGAAACACACACACACACATACACGAGTTTCTCTACTCATTCGTTTGTTTATGTGTATTATTAACTTGAATGGTTGCGACTATTTTCCTTTATAATTTCCTCGGCTAAGGTTGTCCACTATTAAAGGTTACGAGAGTATAAAAACAGATCCAAACACAATTTCCGCCTACTTTATCTCTGTCCTTTTTTTTCACGCGTTGATTTTGGCACTTAGAAAACTGACTCAGCTGCTCTTCTTCTAGTTTTAATCTCTCAGCAAACTTCTTGTTTCTTTTGTTTGTTTATGTTTATCTTCTACCATTCAGTTTGACAGCTACCACCTGTTGGTAAACAATTCATAGACTACAAAAAAGTGGATCAGAAGTTCACCAAGCGTCGGTTTTCAATCTAGAGCACGTGTCGGCGAAGAGCATCCAGTTTCGATGCGGAAGCGGAAGGTATGGAAGGTAGTTTTGGGAAGCAGAAATCGAAAAAGTCCCCGAAAACTGGGTGCTTTGCGGTGGCGTGGCGTTGCTCAGCCGCTGTCAAGAACTGTTTACGGACCCGATCGAGGGCGTTACTGGTGCTCCTGAGCTGCTGCCGACGATGACGACTGGTGCCGCTCTGCTGATTGTTGTCGCGAATTCGAAGGTAGTCGTCGGCGCTGTTGGCTGTGATCGGAGCTCCATTTCCGGTGTATCATGGTAGGGATCACTTGGGCACTCTTTGTGTGACAACAACCAACCGGCTCATCGAGAGAGCGTGGGGTTCGGGATGTTTGGGGATAGTGCAGGACGAGATTAGATGGTGGATATATTTACAAATGAGGACAAAGGCCTTCCGAGGGGGATCGAAATTTTGGGTTTGATTTTTAGCTACCACGTGGGTTTTCAATGTACGCTATCGACGGTGTAGACTCAGCTCATTGTCCTGAAAAAAGATAAAGAATTTGATTAGAATGGTTGGTGTAATATTGAGAAAAGAGTTTTTCCGCTCTTTAGAATATCTAAGTTAATCAGAAGTGTCAGCGGAGAGAGAGACCAGAGAGAGTACCAGCTTTTACTGTAAGTATGTAATATCAATATGCAGATGTAAATCAGGAGGTTGTAGTCGCTACCTGCTGTAATCTGGGATATACTTTCATTCGAGAGCAGTGTTGCAAACCTGTACAGAAGCTGACCACGTACTACTTATTCGGATTATGATCTCAACTTTATAGAATGCAGTTCCAATATTTTTATACCGTTCATGTCAGAAGAGAAACATTTTCTAAGACGGAATAAAAAACAAGTGCTTCTTATGCAAGATGGAGGGGTATCATAAAATTTCAATTTTATTTTAGTTCATTCTTGCCTCATCAAAAGTTGTTTAAACATGGGCGTGGTGGCTGGAGGAGCATCGGTGATCAACAAGCAAGTGTAAGAAATTGAGAGAGATAATAGAAATTCTCCAGATGATCCTCGAACGTCCAGTAACTCAAGCTTGGTTGTCGGTCGGCTGACCACCCCCCCTAGAAGTGTGCACCACTGCTCTTCGAACTTGACCATCCTGTGGCACAAGCTTCAGGAAGGCCATCCAGCTTCTTGGCTTCGCCGATGCCATCGACATCATGGCAAGGAACTTTGAGACGATGACGGAAACGTACATCAGACTGAAGACTGAAGCTAGGCGGATTGGACTTGCCATCATCGCATCGAAGACGAAATACATGAGAGGAAGAGGTTCTAGGGAAGACCATGTTAGTATCCCACCTCTAGTTCAGGTTGACGGTGACGAAGCCATGTATAGACGTTCCAGCTATTATCTTATTTTCCTGGTTTTTTTTTCGTCGGTCTTGTTTTCCGTGCTGAGCACCAATGCTACCGACGCCAGGGAGGCAGCTCCCACACCTGGACCCTACCTATCGAACCATCAACTCATGAACCGGGGACAAATGGCTTTACTTCCCTTCCTAAGGAAGGCGTGATCAGAGATGTTATGCCTCAGAACATCCCGGCGGCGCCGACTGGGATTGAACTCAGGCCTGCTGGGGTGAGAGGTAATCGCACTTACCACTACACCACTGGCGCCGCTTCTTTAGAAATTTAGAAGTTTAGCTATAGATGAATATATCAGTTTCGTCCGTATAGAAAACGTCCTGTTACAGCTAGAATTCAAATATGCATCGTAATTTTACATTCTATGTTTTCACCTGTAGTTTTAATTAGTTTATAATTTAAACAATGGTATAAGAAATAATAATCTACCAACTTCATCTATTGTTTTATGTTTATGTCCTGCATTGTATTGTTTTCTTCGGCTGCTCGATGTAGGTTGCTCGCTGAATGACAATCAGATTCAATCCCTCTGATGGCCACGAGTGTGGCTGACGTTCGAATTGGCAGAGCATTATCGCCAAAGGGCGTAACATTCCGATGCTTTGGTAACTATTGCTATCTCTGTGGCGTAGGCAGCTACTTGTGCTTTCTTGTAGATGTACCGTTCTGCGTCTTGTAGTTCTTCGTATGTCAATACACGAACTGTAGGTGAATTTCCATGCAATTTGGCCCGGATATTGCGTGGAAACCGTAGAACACACGTAATCAAGCGGAGGAGCCGGAGAAATTGTCGAAATTAACAGCTGCTTCTATGGAATGGTGAACAGCGACTACACGCTTCAACTCTGCTGATGTGGTCCCAGCACGTTGCCGCAAGACTGGCCATTCACTCCGCGGATTCCAGAGAAAAGAAGGGCCACGAAATCATCGGCTACTGAGCGACAGGTCAGACTGCCTCTGCTACTTAGTTTCTTCGTCGGCCACGTTTAGTTTTGTTGGTACCCATTGCCATTCAGACAACTCCGTGATTTCCAGTATCTCCCCAGCTCGGAACCCAAGGAACATTGCAAGTTTTATCGCGGTTTTATAACACACTACAAGTCTAAATCATTGTCTACAGAACCCTCATAAAACCTAAATTGTTACTTGGAAATGCAACGAACTGGCTGTAACGGCGATGCAGAATCCAGCCAGCAGATAACATCCTTCGAAACCGTCCAGAAGAACCGTTCGTGAATATTTATTCGGTGTTACTCTACGATAGATTTCGCTAGTCTCGCTTCTATTACAGCCGCTTGTAATTCTAGTCAAGGAATCGATTCGAACCTCAACGGTGTCACGCGTGTTTTTGCTGTAACGAAGGCACATTCGATCGTTCCATCTTCTTCACAGCGGAAGTAGGCAACTGCAGCAAATCCGCTCTCGCTGGCGCCTAAAAATATATGCAGTTGCACCATATTGGACTCCTTTGAGGACGAAGTTTGAACCCGATAGCACCTGGTAATGGATACCATTTCTACCTTCCTCAAAACTGTGAGCCACGTATGCCATTTTGAAAATTGCCGATGTTCCGTTGCGCCATACCTCCTGCAAAAGAACCTTTAAGTACATCTCCACGCGTTTTGGCAACGGCATCCCATACGATCCTAAGCTTGTTCGGTTTGTTGGGATTCGTCAGGGGGAAAATGGGCAAATACCAAACACGACTCCTCGGTGCCTGCTCTTCTGATATGGTCAATTTCAGAATATACCCCTTTAGTTTGTAGTCACGAATCTCTGCTCGAAGGTCAGCAGCCGTCTTCGGTTCACGTTCCATTCGCTTTTCCAAACAACGGAAACGTGCTGTCTAATAGTTGAACATCATCAAACTTCCATAACAAAGCAGACTCGTATCGCAAACCTTTTCGGAATTGATCTGTGTGTTGATCTGTATCCCAAGGCTATCCAGTGAAAAATACTCCTTCACAGCGTTATGCAGTGTTTCGCATTGGCATATGTGGTAGCTGTAACTTTCCTTGCAGCTATTCTGCTTGGAGTCGTCGGCGATAGAGCAATGGCCATAAATGATCCATCCTAGCCGAGTAAACACAGCAGCGGGTTGATTGTCCTGGCCTTCTATTGAATTCAGCGGATGTCCCAGTCGGATATTGTCCATCCCCAGAAGGATGCATGGTTGAATGTCTTCATAGGACTCAACAGTCAGTCCCTTAAGATGATTGTAGGGCTGCGAAATATCCTCCAGCGATACACTTTGCGATGGCAGCTGAAGACTCTCCACCGTATGAACTATGCATGAAAAGTTGCGCTCTCTGCAACCTTGTTCTCCAGATAGCTCTATCACACATTTAACTGAGCGGAAACTGCTCGCCCGAAAGACCGAGTTCTTCCAAGAGACTGTGTTCCATTAATGAGCACGTTGATCCGTCATCCAGGAACGCATATGTATACATGGACCTCCCTCTTCCATGTATCGTGACCATGACGTACTTCATTAATACGGTGCCAAGGCAACAGTGGTGGGTATTGCAGGATGGCGTGAACTTATTCGGCGGGTTTACTTGACCAGAAGCTGTCGATGCCTGCCTATTAGACTGATGCAAAATTCGACTTTTTCGCTCCAAAGTGCTTAAATGGTTTCAAATCGGGTCCTAATAAGCCTCCCAAAGTTACAACTAATTTGGTTAGAAACAGACTTCGCACGAGCCATTTGAAGTTTACATGTAAATTACTATGGGAAATTTCAACTTTTTGTTCATTGCCTTCTAGTCTTTTTCCATATTGATCTGCAAAACAGTTCGATAGCCATTCTTATAGAAAATTTTCTCAGCTACAACTTTGCTCAAAATTGTTTCTAAGTAAAACGAGACAGGAAAAAGTTATTAATTATTTAAGAGATTGGTAAACTTATGACATGATCAAGCAGCTGCTCTGTAGGCGACACTGTATTTTGCAGTGTGACATAGTAGCCATGATTTTTGTGTCCTATTCAACGCCCCAGAAACACCAATGTTGCCTGCTGAGCAGTTGATTGAGCATGATCATAAGACATCAGCGCATTGAACCATTGATAACTTTCGATCCTTGGATTTAATCAAAAAGTGGTCTTGAGCAAAGTTGTAGCTGGGAAAATTTCCTACAAGTACAGTTGAAAGTTTTTGAAGCAGACCGATATGGTGAATTATTAGATGGACATGAACAAAAATCTTGGTAATTCCCATACAAACTTCAAATGGTTTGTGCCATTTCAGTTTCTCACCAAATGGGTTCAAATTTGGAGAGGTTAGTCAGGATCCGATTTGGAATCGTTTAAGTATTGTGGAGCAAAAATTTCAAATTTTGCATCACTCTACTGCCTATGTCTCTGATCATCATACAGAAGCTGATTGTGCAAAAAGGGGCATCCATTCTGTTTGCAAGGAATATTCCCTTCGCATGACTTGAAATATTTTTTCAAGCTTTTTCTGCACAACTTTTTCCCCTAAATAACTGTCCAACGGGATTCCGGATTCATCTTCAGGAAATTTTCGCATTTGTCCAAGGTCGAACAGGCCTTGCCGCATGCATAGCACATTTTTTGTCCGATCTTGCTTTCCTCAGCCTCCTTGTGGGTGTTCATGTAGGCATCTTCCTTCCGACTGCACATTTCTGGTTGCTTGGTAAAATTTCCCACTTGTGCTTTGTCTCGTTACCTTGCTCAGTAACTAGTTGACCAATCCACTCGCTGAATTCCGAAAACTAAACCGTTCCCTTCGATTGACGAAAGATGGCCCAATTCATCTTTATGGCAGCTGGCAGGTAATCTACGAGTTCCTGTACTAAAACTACATTGTACAGACACTCCAAAGTCTATGATCGTTTCCATCCTATCTGCTTTTGGTGCTGGCATTGCTCGAATTCGTCTCACCATAGTTTCGACAATTACCTCCGGACTTCCGAACAGCATCTTCAGACGTTGGATGATCACAGGTACCTACATTTTCTAGATGCAACAGCAAACTTCTAACAGCACAGAGGGCACGATCGTAGAGGCATCTTTGAAGACGGTCCAACAGTTCGTCGTTGCGGAATGCACATATCTGCGCGGTTCGTTCATACGCCGCTAGACAACGTGGC